ATGGTCACTAGCTGCTGCAGCACTGAATGTCCCTTTGCTCCTCAATTTAACAGCTTACAGTTGTTCAATTTTAAAGTGACTCTAATTCCTGTATCTTTCTTTGGATGCCTGAATCAAGAGTATGATCTCTCATATAGAAATCCGAGGACCCTCAAAATATCATAATTTAGTCAGACAGTCAATCAGATAGGACTATGCACTTAAAATTGAATGATTAATATCTCTCTAACAGATATCTACACCTCCAACGCAGTTCATCAATCCACCGCCATAATGCTTTGAGGGTTTTCTTTTCAAAACCTAAATCTAGTCAGTTCACTATCCTGCTTAAAATTTTTTTAATGTCTCACTATAATTTTAAGGAAAATTCCAGTGCCCTTTGGCACAGAAGGGAATCCAATCACAATTCAGCTCCCCTCTAACATTCAGTATGATCTGCATTTTGTGCAGATGAACCCTTTATTCCAGCCACGGAAGACGCGACCTGTCCATTTATGCCTTGATGCATAGTAATCTCTGTCTGGAAGACCCTTCACTCTGCCTAATTATTACTACCTCTACTATTACCATGCTATTACTATTGCTAGTATTACTACTACTTCTACTGCTACTGCGACTACTAGCTACTGTTTACTGAGTGCTTTTCATAGATGAAACACCATAATTATTTAATTCTTATAATAACCTTATGAAGTAGATATTAGACTCTCCAATTTCCTTTTCAGAAAACTGCAGCTTAAAGGAGCTAATTATAGTAAGGTCAACAGCTAGAAAGTGTTGGCACCCGGATTCATACACTGTTCACCACACTACCAAGGGAACTATAGTACACTATTATACGTTGTATCTCTTTCACCAATGAGCTGTATGACTTTGGTTATAATTTTATTACTTGTAGCCAATAAGACTAGACTAAACCGAAGAGCCCCCAAGCTCTGAAATCCTATGATTTTAAGTCAAATACTTCTCTGCATGCTACTGTCACCAGTCATACCTACAACTAGAACAATAATATCAATATACTTATTCCAGTTATCTATAAGGAAACTACATTTTAAATGATTATAAGGTACATAAATCTGGAAAATGCTTTAAATCTTTGGCATGTTTATCAAATAATCTTATGATCCCCTGTAAGTAACCTTATCAAATGTATATGTGTATTTCCTACTCACTCAATATTTGCTAAGCACCTAGAAAAATAAAAGAATTAGAAATGGTCCCCCTCTTTAGAGGGGCTCACAGGGAGATGGAGATAGTAAGTGAAATGCAATATGATACACTTTTAAAGTACCTGATCACAGGAAACATAACTAGCCTCCCATAAACCATGCGGACATCACTGGTTACACTGGTCAGCCCTTTTGCAGTAATTCCAAATTTCATTGTTAAAGAAACCTATCTAGTTCAGCATTCTGCAAAAGGCGGTCACTTAGGGTATCACCACTGTGATTTTACCATACCAATTATTCACCTACTATTATTTACTTAATATTTTCTTTAAACAACCCATTTTTATTAAATTATTAAAATTAAAATTCCATATCATTACCATAAATGGAAAACCAATAGAAGCTGCTATAAACAAGAGGCAACTGTAAAAATAAATACAATGGAAACGAGTCATGTGAAATTTTATCTAGATTGGGTTGCCTGTACCCACCCCCAACCCCCAAAGAAAGACACCACACGTTAGCATTGTTTTTGTTAAAGACCAGTACCAAAATGAGACCTTCTCTTTGATGTGTTCAGAAGGGTTGGAAAGGGACCAATGATCTCAATACATGACTCAGTGTTACTTAATGACCTTGCATGCACCGCTTAAACCCTGTTGTGCACCAGTACATACACCCCACCTTGGGAAACACTGGCCTAGCTTAAATCCTATCACCACAGACAGGGAAACCTGTGGGCTCTGGAACCACATTGCCTGGGTTTGACCCCAGCTTCATTTTCTAAATTATATAAATATTTCTTGGACTCAAAGTGAGAATAATGAAAAGACCTATCTCAAAACTGTTTGAGGATTAGTGTAAAAAAGGTTCTGGGACATTCCTGCCTGAAGCAAAAAGACATTCAAAAATATTTACTCGTCAAATGATAAATGAAAAGTAAAAATAAACTCCGTCAAAGGGCAAATGAAAGGGACTTTTTGGTAAGGAGGAAACTGAGCTGGGACAAAAACCATTATTGGATTGCATGATGAAAGGATGAATGGATGCAACAGGCTAACAAAGGATAAAGGAAACAGTTAAGTAAAAACCAATACCACAGAGTTCCTCTTTTTCTTTTCCCTAACTGATAAATTCAATATCTCAGCTTTAAGCTAGTACCAAACCTCTCTCCTCTCCATAGTGCTGGCATCTTTGAGGCTATCTCATAAGTATTTATGAACAAGCCTGCTCAGTTTCACAATCTACATTCTTACGTCTGTGTTTTTATTTCTATTTAGTTATTATGGTGTCTCTTGGCTGAGGCCAGTGTAAATGCAGGTCTTCAAGTCTCAGAGAGCAGTGCCCTGCTTAGTCAGGATTTATCACATGTGCCAACTTGACCTTCACCACTTCTGGACTGTGCTGCCTCACCTGCTGCTTCTCCCGCTCTTCTAGCCAAACAACCTGTTCCTTCCCATGGAAGGCCCAGGACCAAAACAATGCTTTGTGCTCTGCTGTCAACTAGGAAATATTCCTCTTACACTTCAATGTTATATAGAATTTAAAATTCATTCTTACATCAACATCAAGACGTTGCAGGTGAAAAATAAATTGCTATATTTGGAGATATTTATTTTCAGGATAAAAATCAATGTTTTCTAATGATTAATTCTCTTTAAAATGATTTTAACATATGTAAACAAAATACAGAAAACAATAGTGTTATAATTTTAGAATCTGATTTCAAAATCGAGTGGTTCCTTCCAAATTTGTACTGAAGTCTGTGATTATCTCTAAAATTCTATTCTCTTAATATGACTTCTTCCAGTTAGATCTATAAATGCTCATCCTTTACAAACTCCTTTATTCTCTTAAATTTAGTTTGCTTCATATATTGCTTAGAAATTCTGATGACATTTTATCAAATTTCAGTCCCAGATATACAAAAATCCAATTCATAGAATCTATGCTATTATATTCAAAGCCCGAACTAAGAGAGGGATCCAACTTACATTTAACATTCTTGGCAAATAATTTTGACAGCCCATATGAAGCATACCGATTTACATAAAACCATGCTACATGTAATATAAGACTAAAAACAAACCTTTTATCCTAAAGCCCATATATTAAAACACTATTGTCATAAAGATGGAAAGATCTTTTTCCATAAATTCAAGAAACAATCTTGACATTTTGGAGTGCAAGTGAAAAGAAAATAGTCAAAATTGCAGGTTATAGTTTGTGTTTTGTCACACGAGCCATGTGTGGGCTTTAGTTTCCTTCTCTAAAAAGAATGAAAAGGTTGTGTGAAATGGACTCAGAAGTTCTGTAATTACATTTGCTTTGTGCTCTTATGGCACCTCTTTCCTCTTACCAGTTCCCCGGGAGATCTAATTTGTATGCATGTTTTATTTTTTCAACAAATATTTACTGAGTAATTACTATTTGCCAGGAAACTTGCTAGGCACTAGGAATACAGAAGTTTAGAAAAAAAAAAATGGGTTTTGTTCACTTAACCTTAAAAGTTAGTGGGCAAGATGGGCATTCGGCAATCAGAAGCATTAAACATTGTGATCATCTTGAGAAAGAAAAACCTCATTGTATGCTGCGGGTTACAACAGGTGACCTAATTTAGATTAGGGGCATCGAGGAAGCCACAATGAAGTGGCATTTAAAGTGAGAGGTAGAAGAAAATACGTCCAGGCCTTCCGGGGGTACAGTGCAGAATGAGAGGGCGGAGGTGGTCAAGTTCGAGGAACTGAAAGGCTGCAGGCATGAGTGACAGCGTCTTCTCTGGCCTATCGTGAATGTTAGATTTTATTATAAATGCAGGGAGCTCCTTGGGTAGGGATATTGACCCTGAAGTTAGAATTCCAGCTCCACCACTTACTAGTTGTGTGACCTTGGGCATTTCCTCATTTAGAGTGATTGGGAGGATTACATAAATCCATGTAAATAAAGCCCTTAAAACAGTGCCCAGCCGCAGTAAGCACTAGGCAGTGTTTGTCATTTTTAGCATCATCCCTCCTCATTTCAGAACACAGAACAGCTCAGAGGAAAGAGCACCATAGAGTACTGACATGGGGGTCCTGGACTCATCTCTTTCCTTACAGACTGGTTCTTCAGTAAAATAAAGGAAACTTAAAGGGAATTGTGATAACCCTGAGTGTAATAATGAAACAGAAAGGTAACTCTAAGTGAAGAGAAAACTGTTCTAGAATCTCTTCTGATTTTTGAGATTAAGTGGATATTGTAATATTGGAAAAATATTTACAAATTCTTGCTTTGTAGCTACCATAATTTTAATTCAAGAAGCTAAAAATGGTTTTCTATCTAAGTTTTCTTCAAAATTAACTGAGTGTACCATCATTTCTAGTTCTCCTTCACCAACGGTGAATCTTTTAGAACCTCTGAAATCACCTAACTTTACTGTTTTGCTTTGCAAGGTAGAAATCTCAGCAAATAGACTTCTTGGTGTCAGCCACATATAAGGGTCTGATCACATGTGCCAACTTCAACTTCACCACTGCTGGACTGTGCTGCCCTGCCTACTGCTTCTCCTGTTCTTCAGGCCAAACACCCTGTTCCTTCTCATGGAAGGCCCAGGACCAACACGATGCTTTTGCTCTGCTGTCAGCTAAGAAATATTCCTCTTACACTTCGATGTTATATAGAAGAATTTAAAAGATTCTTCCAACAGCTATTGCTGTAATGTGAGAGCTTCCTAAATCTTCATAGAACAAAGTGACAGACAAACATTCTCTGGGTTTTAGCAGCAGCTTAATTATACATCCTTTATTTACTTTTTTTTTTTTTTTTAACTATCCTGGCTTTTAAACTTACCCCAATAGCTGCCAAGATTGGGGCTTGATAAATCCACTTGATGTCTCCAGCACTAAGTTCCCAGCATCTGAGACATGAAAAAGAACTTTCATGAATAAATTGGCAAAGCAATTAAGCAGTGAGAACTAAGTAGCATTTTAAGTTTTATCAAAAACTCCAACCCCAAGCTTTTGATTAAGAAATAAATAAACCAAAAAAAACCCCAAAAATTTCTCTTAGAACACCCAAATCAGTGGAAAAAAATGGATGTTGGGCCCTAGTGTCCATACTATTAGCTATTGGTGAATTGCTTTATTAGTAACAAGAGTCAAACCACTTTTCCAGAGTCACGAAAAATATTATAGTCTTCTAAATGTGGTACAACTGATAGTTCATTTTTATTATCACTGCAATGATAAATTCCTCTCACTCCCAGAAGCTACAGAAATTCTATTTTATAATTTTATATGTTGCAAAACACTTACAATAATGCAATTCATTCTTCTTCATAGAAAGCGATAGAAAACTTACAATAATACAAATGATTCTTGTTGATAAGAATGTAATAGAAAACTGAATAAAAATGATTTTTGTCCAAAGAAATGAAAATTAGCTGCGTTCGGTGGAATGTAATTGATTTATGTCTTATGAATACTGACCAGTTTTGCATTTATTTGTATACTTATTTCAGTGTTCATTTTACTAAATATAAATATGTGACTCTTTTGTTTCTCCTTTGAACCAGTTATAACATCTTACTGGTTCCTTCATTAATTAGTAAGTTAAAAAAAGAAATCTTTGACAGCTGCTCATTTTGTATTTGCATAAGATCCATGATTTTATCTTTAATTTGAAAAAGTTAATTTTTAGGAGTATTTAATTAAAACACTATCTAATTTATCTATTTGGTATCTTTATCTTCTGCTTCCCCTCACCACCCCAACTAGAATTTAAGTTCTACATGGGCAGGGATCATTTGTTCTTGTTTTCTATTATATTATAAGTGCCTAGAATAATATATAACATGTCACTAGTCAGTAAATATTTGTTGGATTAAACTGAATTTAAATTAAGTTTGACTCAACCTCACTCACTGGTTTGTGGTAAAGATCTTATACTAGAATAAATAGCACAAAGTTGATAAAAACTAGTTTCACTTGAAACTTTAGCACTTTAGATGGGTTTTTAAAATTAAAGATACATAAACAAAAGCCTTTGGTTTGTTTCTCCATAGACAAAAGCTACCATTGATTGTGACAACAGTAAATGAAATCTTATAAAGAAATTTTAGGGATATAATGATAGTTTTTAAATTTCAAATGATAAATTTATCAAGAAGTTACTTTTAAATTAATGAACAGTTATGGATAAATAGAAGCTATTTAAATTATTTCTTGAAGGCAAAACATTTTCAGTACACATGTAAAACTATATATTTTGAAATTTCGATTTTTTTATATAAGCAATACATTCTTATTTCAAAATCAAACTATATAAAAAGACGTTGAGACATTTCAGTCCTCCTCATATTCCTGTCTAACTCTGCCACTGCCCCTCTCCTAATAGGTAATATCTTTCATTACTTTATTGTCTATGCTTCCAGTGTCTCCTTACAAGACAAGGAAATTTTATACTTGCACATTATCGAATGCTTCCTAGCATTGTTTGCATGCATCTATTTTTCATATTATTCAACCAGACAAGAAAGAAGAGCATTAGTTCCTGGTTTGTACAGAACGTCTATCACACTATCCCAGAGAGGTTTTCTACCATAAGGAAAGTGGCATTTATTGTGCGAATATAAATTGAACATTGATTCATCAACTACGAGACTTGGATTCCATAAATTTTCTTCTCAGTTTTGACATTTGGTAATATATTCACAATCTTCTATCTTTGCCTCAATGACATTTCATCATAGTGTCTCCTAACACATTGGAATTCAATTATCCAGTTCCAGCTCTACAAAATACTTGTATTTGGAAGTAGGTCAAAATGAGCTACCTCTAAAAACAGGAAAAAATTGACTTTGATTATATGCAATGTTAAAGTTTCAAATTTGCCCCTGGATATGAGAGGCAACTTAGATTTCAGATTTTCTTATTTAAGAAAATGCTATTAATCCTTGTTTTTCATTAATTCGTAAATGTCCCAGCTCACACTGTGTCTGTTAACAAGGCCCAGAAACCAGCCTTTGTTCAGATTTTTAAAAATAAATTTCATATTCTAGGAAATGCAGAAATCAATGTCAGTAAAAAGGCAGTTGCAAATTGTGGAGCATGAGGCACAGAAGTCTAACTAGAAAGTAGGACTTCCTGCAGCCAGGATTGCAGACAGATGAGGCATTGTTTTGCCAGAGGGATCCAGAGAATTATATGAACTGAATACTGCATTTTCTCCACAATTCAGAATCTGATCAGAGTAGAGGAAGTGAAGAAGCCCTGAAAGCCATGCAAATTGCCTAGGAAAGATAGAGAGTATTTTTTCTTGGTCTTTTCCATTGCAGGTCCCACCTTTCCTGCTGGCATTTCTTATCTCCTTTGAATGAGCAAGGAATAGATAATAGGGTATCTTGTAAGGTGTTTTGCTTTTATAATTAAAAAGACAGAGAAACAAAAATATTCACTTTTAAAGTTCATTTGTCCAATTTAAACTACTCAATTATCATATCCTATAGTCAAATTAAAACTTTAAAAAGAATTTTAGAACTGAAAGAGACTTCTTTTGTATATTCAGTAGAGTTTAGAGGATCTTCTAAAACCAAGTCTGATCTGCTTATCGCTAAATGGCCAAGATGCAGAGAAAATCAGATTTCTAGTTTTGAAAGGCCGGATCTGAAAAAAGGTGACCCCACCCATCTTTTAGAGATGCTCAAGTCTGCTCCCTGCACCTGAACTTGGTGACATTGTACTACAATAGATAGGTCAGCTTATGCTCAAGAAAACTCACAAGAACTTTCTATCTATGGACAAGCTGAATTTCATGAGAAACCAACTCAGGCAATTTTGAAATCATGCCCTTGATGTGATAATACAGTTTTATTTCATAATAAAAGCAAAATAAATGTAAAATGACCCCTTAATCCAAATATTGCTCAGATCAAGAAACTATAAAATTCAAGTTTATATTCTGAGTAAGGTAGGAATAAATACTGTGTACAGAAGAATCGCATGACCTATCCTATATGTAATTTCTTATATTAATTCATCTGTTTTAGAGCAAGTATCAGTTGTATTTTTAAAAATATTATTTTACCTGATGGATTCGTCGCAAAATAATAAACTCATATTTCTAATTTTTTCGGTGAACAGACTTATGATTATTAATGGTCTTTGATTTAGTTTATTGTTTTTAAGAATGCATGATAACTAAGAAAACTAATTACTTAACTCAATATAAAATGCATTATGAATATATTTGCTTTCTTTCCATGCTCAAGGCCTAGAAGATCTGTTGAATGAATGATGAGTCAGAATTGCTCCAAGTTGGCTGTAGGCTTTGGAGATACAACCTGTTATCTCTGGGTCTCATTTTATTCATCACTCAAATGAGGGGATTGGACCAAAAAATGCTTTTGGTCCTACTTCCTCTAAAATTCTGAATTTGAGCTATATGGTTACACATCTCAGGGTAAAATTATTTAGCATTATTTAATACTTCTTTATTGACTCAACTCCCTCCCTCCTCCAAGATATCAAACAGGCAGATGCTGCAAGTTTTCTTTGAGATTCCTAGTATCACTGTGTAAACATAGCAATGATGACAGCAGTGTAGATAACATTAACCTTCAATTGTTAACAAACCTGAATAGTATGAAGAGACAAAGTCAAGTAAAAATGGAAAGACAGTAAGTTCTAGAACCGAGGGAAGCTGATGGATGGGGAGTTTGGGAGCAAGTAGTAGGAAGGCTGCATCTAAAGATAATGATCTGTAGAGTCCAGATTTTTGAGAACAGTGGCAGTTTCTCTAGAGTTCATGTGCTCGCATAGGGTAGCATTTTTTTCACTGCATAGCAGACAAAATGATTTTGGAAGAAAATACTTAGTAATGCAAAGCAAACATATAGGATCAAATTAAAGGAAGGGCCCCAGGAACTAACAAAAAGGAATTGCTGTCATGAAACGTATGCAATCCATGAGTATCAAATTGCATTCTCTTAACAGAATGCTCAACATAACTGCAGTTGAGTTCAAGGTGTCTCTCTTTAAATCCTTTTTTTGTATAGGTGTATTAGTCTGCTCAGGTTATCATAACAATATACTGCAGACTGAGTGACTTAAAGCAGCGATCCCCAACCTTTTTGGCACCAGCAACTGGTGCTCCTCTGAGAATCTAATGCCTGATGATCTGAGTTGGAGCTGAGGCAGTGATGCTAGCACTGAGGAGCAGCTGCAAATACAGATGAAGCTTTGCTGGCTCGCCCACCGCTCACCTCCTGCTGTGCAGCCAGGTTCCTAACAGGCCACGGACTGGTATCCATCCGTGGCCCTTGTGTTGGGGACCCCTGGCTTAAACAACAGATATTTATGTCCTTACCGTCTAGAGGCTGGAAGTGCAATACCAAGATGCCAGCATGGTACATTGCTGGCGAGGCCTCTCTTCCTGCTGTCTTGCTGTGCACTCATAAGACTTGCACTTCGTGCACACACAGAGGGACAGGAAGTGCTCCGGCATCTCTTCTGATAAGGATACTAATCCTGTCATATCAGAGCCCCACCCTTATGACCTCTTTGAACCTTTACCTCCTTATGGACCCTATTTCCATGTTCAGCCACATTGGGGGTTAGGGCTCCCACAAATGAATTTTGGGAAGACACAATTCAGTCCATGGCAGTAACTTTGACCGTGATAGCAAACAGCAGGCACCTGAATGTTTTTCCACCTTCTACTTTTCTTTCTTTAACTCATCATTACTAAAAAATAGAAATAATATGAAAAAAAAAAAAAAGCATGTTTCAGGATCCATTAATCATGCCGCCCCTAAAGGGAAACAGACAACCAGAGTGGGGTGGGGTGGCACGGGCTAGTGATTCACCAGGATGGATTCCACTTCTAAGGTGCATTTGTTTTATTATTTAAAAAATATTTAATTATGCAATAGAAGACAAGAAAAATGGGATGGATGAAACCATAGTTTTCATTAAATATATATAAGTAGGAAGTAGAGCACATTTATATTAAACATAGGTACTAAATACATATGAGGCAACTGGGCATGAAATATTCATAATACACCAAATATATGATAGGTGCAAAATATCCCTGATACACAGGAAGTGCTTAATATGCTTGACCTCTTAATTCAGCCACTGCTTGGTGAAACCCGTGCCCACAAGGAACTCAAATACAACCCAAATTTTTTTTCTGGCAAGCTACAGCTGTGGCCAGGCGTCCTTGTACTTGCATCTCTCTGAGACAGTAAGTACGTGTCATTGGTCTGAGGCACCTTCTCTTTGTGGGTCCCCATGCTGAAATCTCATCTCCAGTGCTCATAACCACACCATCAGTGGTGAAAGTTGATGTAGCAGGAAGAGCAAGAGAGGGGATAGGAATATTGCCTATCCCAGGACTTAAGTCGTGTTGACCTTCCCCCTGGTTGAACTGTATCCTAAGTGTGTTAACTTACCCACCTCTTTCTCCTTGCTTCTCACAATATGTTTTAAATTGATTTCATAAGACATGGAGTTCAAACATCCTAATTTGGTCTGTGAGTCTTTCAGTTCCATGACCTCTGGGATGGATAGTTTCCTATATCAGAGGCTACCATTACATCACGGTAATTTCCTATATGACATCCCTAAAGAGGGATGTCGCCATGTGTGAATTCCAAGCAGGAAGTCAGAGTCTTGAGAAAATCGGCTCTCTCTTTGCCTCTTCTTTTCCACTCACCTTGCATCAGCCAGAGTTGCCCGTGCCACAGCCCAGGCTGCAACAAATGCTGCTGGGAACCCTGCAATCAGAAAAGGATTCAGAGACCATATTTCTTTTAAGGTTAAGGGACTTTTTCCCCTTCTATTCACAACACATAAAAATATGCTATTAAAAGATGAGAGAGAAAAAACAGACATGAAAAATGTTAATATGTGAACAAGAAAAGTCCTAATTTTCATCTTATCCATTTGAGAAATGGACTAGTACGTTGACATTATTTGTTCCCAAAAGCCTGTAGATGAAGGTTGGCCCGATTTTCAATTGAAGGATGTAGGGTCAAGCCATATTGGGAGTGGAACAAAGTTCTTGGGGCCAGAAGCAGATAGTGGTTAATGCATTCAACAGTGACTTGCCACGCTGACAGCGACATGGTTTCAAGAAGTGAAGCAATAAGAAGAATTCGTGAGAAGCTGAGGGGAAGTTGTCATTTTAAAAAATTAGAAGATTTTCATTCTAAAAGTGGAAGGCACAGAGAAGCTATTTTATGTTACAAAATTGGAAGGTTTTGATCAGTTTAAGCCTCTTTTTGCTCATATTAACTCAAGACAGAAGCATTTGCATGTGTTAGTAACTTAGCGAAGGTAGCTGTTATATTAGCTTGATGATTTGAGCATGAGATATTTGTCCTTCGTAAGTGGTAAACACCTATGAGCCTGCAACATCGAGTCTATGATACTGAGTTTCCATGAGTCCTTTGCCCTCAGGAAAGTGTGACTGTTCAGCTCATAGTACAGTTGATCAGGCTCTGATATCACAAAAAGAAATCACATTTCATGAAAGATTGCAGTAGAGGACCAAAGGATTTAATAGATAATTTTCATTATGTGGCCTTTATAAAAGAGATTTAAAAAAACGAAAGAGAGACCAAAATGAAAACACTACAGAAGCTAGGAAGCACGTTACAAAGGGAAAGAAAAAGTTTTAATCTGTTAAAACTTTTTTATTAAAACATTTACTATAACATTTTTTATTAAAAACAATATTAAATTCTTTACCTTTTACAAATTAAAAAACATGAAAGTTAAATTACATCTGTAACTTTTCAGATATTCTTTCTTAGAGGAAAAAATGAATAAAGAAATAGATTCAGATGAAAAAACTTTCATGAAAAAAATAAAAATAAGATACCCTAGAATAGAGAATTTCTTTGGTCTCCTCAGTGATCATCTATATGGATTTAACCTCAACCTGACTGTGAGACTATTTAATTTTGTATATAACTCTTATTCTTTAAAAGTGTACTTGACTTGTATGTTCTAGAAAATTGTTTTTGTCAAACTAGATGTCCCAAATTCTGGTTATTTCTTAGGTTCAGCTCACATATTCTATCTATCTTCTATCTATCCATCCATCTACCTATCCATCCATCCATCCAACCATACATCCAGTCAACATTTATTAGGTGCCTATTTATGTGTCAAGGATTGTTCTAGTCTCAGAATATAAAACAATAAACTGATAACTTCACTGTTTTCCTGAAACTTATATTCTGGTGGGAGAGGCAAAATTAATAACAAAACTTCAGAATGATACCATGTAATGGAAAGAGCATGGCTCCTTCTGTCAGGATGGTTCAAAAAGTCCTAACACAGATCCCTTTGCCACTCTTCTGCCTTGGTTATCTTTACGAAGTGTCTGTCTGCCTTTGATCAAAATTTCCAGATTTTCTCATTCACAGGTCTTTATCTTCTGCTTCCTTTACAATCTCCTGATCAGGAAATTTCCTGAATGATGTTCTACAGGCGTTGATTAATGGTGCTTGAGTTGAAATTATGTTTTAGATGATAATTATAACAAATACCTTCGATCAGGCACCATGAAATTGCTTTTCTCATTCTCTTGGAAGACCCTCATTCGCAAGACTAACATAGAGACAACCACAGAGGAATAAAAAATAGAAACCGCTTTCAGGCTCTTTAAGATATTTGATCACTAATCTTAGTATCACATTAGTACATAATCGAGAACACATAAATATAGAAAAAAATGTTTGAAATTCAGATGTTATTTTAAATTTAAATGTGAATTCAAATAAATTTAATGTAAATTTGAATGTTACTCAATACATGCATTTACCTTGAGATCTGAGTTATTTTCATAAAATATGTCAGTATAAAAAAGTGACTCTGAGAGGGAGGCAATCTCTTTATTTTACTCTCCTGTAAAATAAAGGTTTGGACAAATAGTAGTCAAAAACATTTTATCGATTAAACCCTTTCTTCAAATAAAAACTTATGCAGCGGCCGACTGCATAAAACAGAGCTGCCCTGAAGCCGAAGACAGGAACTAGGGTCTCCTCATTTGGGTCTATGTAGGTACATCTTGTTTTTGACGCTCCAGAGGCTTCGCAAAGCCCTACTTCAGCCTACCTCTTTCTGCGGTGCTACTGGAGTACTGTAAAGTCGTAGTTGATCATGAAGTGTAGAGTTAGTCCTAGAAATTAGTGACCCATCACGACATGGGGATTCCTGGATTTGCTACAGACATACAGTGTCTTACTAACCAGAAATCTTGATGCCCCTGGGAATCAAGTCTATATTGACTGTGCAGATATGAGACTCCAGGCTGTGCCTCCGGTTCCCGCACTGCTATTGCAGGATGCTGGAAATTATCGCCTGCTGACTTATTCTTTAAGGAACTTAGAAGTCTCTCTATAGAATTTTGACAGAATTGTTCTCAACTCTCATAGGACTATAAGCCAATACTGAATAAACACATCTCTCTGTCAGGAAAATTGCAGAGCCTTTGAAAGCCTTTCGTTGTTACAAAGAAGAATGTTTATGAAATTGTAAGAGACCTACCTCCTCCTGAGATGGAATCACTACAGGAAACAAAAGAAATCTTTAAAAAACATATCTAATTCATAGTCCAAAAAATGCTCTAGAAGAATAGAGCAAGGCATTATAAAAAGAGCTATGGAAAATATGTTTACTGAATTAAATATTGTCAGTGGGCAGAAACTGTAAAAACTCAAATTAGTGGAGAGGAGGTAGATTCTCAAAACCAGGTAAACCCACAGAGATAAATCTACACAATTGTTACAAATGTGAATATAAAGTTGACTATTATTTATTTTTTTAAAAGAGGTAATAATATATATAATTTTAAATGATTAGAAGTAAAATCCTAAATTATGTCTTAAAAGTCTGGAGAAAGTGATAAGCAGAGAAAACTAAATTTCTTATCTTTCATAAAGCAGAGTCAAAAGATAGATCTTTTATTGGCTCTAATGGTTCAATATAATTTTAACTTTAAGGTAACCTTTAGTAGAATTAATAATTCCATTAAAAATCATAGGAGAGGGGGGAAATAGTTTTTCTAGATTTTTAAATTATGCTTGAAGCAAACAAAGAAGAGTTTAAATTGGACAAAGGTGTTATGTTGACTATCATAAATAATTGTATGAAGAACAGATTTTATAAATTAAGTATTTTGAATATAATACATATAATCAGAACAAGCAAACAGAAAAAAATTAACCTAGAGCGTCAGACTTCATACTTATAGTGTGCGGGAACTCTACACATATCTCTTACTGGATTGAGATCATTTTATACAGAGATAATAAAAGTGGAAATATAGTACTTTCTCCTGATTATTTTCAGAGAAAACAGAACACGAAAATATTCTACATGAAAGCTTGGCGACAGGGACATGACTTCATGGTATAACTAGGGTAGGTGTTTTTAAATGATAGTATGTATATTCCACCATCTCATCTGACAGTTTAAAATTAAGAATGGTTGCTGATATAGAGGTAAATTACATTCAACAAGGATAAAGAAACAAGACTGACACCTTTTAAATATAGAACTAAATATATACATATATTTTTTTAATGTGTAGTTGAAAGAAAAAATGGAACCAAGAATAAAGTGCCTTATTTATGAGAAAATTGAAGGAGAGATAGGGAAAAATAAGAATGTAATTGATGAAAGAGGGGGAAAAAAGCATTATTAGAATTTACCTTTACTCCTCTATACATCTCGTTTTGTAATAAAGATGTGTGAAAACAGTCATTTAAAATATGGTATCCATTCCTCTTTAGATTGTAATTTCCTTCCCTTCCAATTTATTGTTAAAAATCAGCAAAATTGGTATAAATAACGTAACTCCACATATCACTATAATGTAGGTAATAAAGTTCTGTGTATTTACCCAGCTGAAGAGAGCTGAAAGTTATAATGAATAGGTCCAAATGAGTAACAAAGGAATCCAAGCAAGCTCTCTTCTCTAGTGAAGCCAATAAATCACATCATTGAAAGAGAGTATGAAATTGATTCACCATGAATTATAGCAAAGGATCCTGGCAAAGCAGCTGTAATGTTTTTGATCATTATTTTTCTTATGGAAGTTTGGGGAAATGAGTAGGAAATTAAAATATTTTAAAATCAGACTCTCAGCGTTGAGATGAGAGAAAAATAGTTTACTAATCAAATACACTTTGATATTTACTATGTTAAATAACTGTGTTTTAGTAACAGAGAGATATTCTTTAAAGAATATTACTATTCTTTTCATTATCTAGTAAATGCCCTAGATTAGAGCATTTACTTTTTTGAAAAACGGAGTTTGAGAGTGTCAGAAGATAAACCAAACACAGAACCATAACTCTATAAAGATTAGTTATTAGTGTTTTAGATTGTAGTTAATTGAGTGAACATAATATTGCATGTAAAATGTTTTTTCAAAGTGAGCTTTCATGTGAATCCTACTTGCTTTCATGTATGTTCTTAAACCACTTGATAAAATAATTTCAAATAATGAGGCTTATCTACTGTAGTCATTACTATGCCAAAATTAAGAAATGCTGTAAAAAAAAAAAGTAAGGAATTCATACTTACAGAGAAGCTTACTGGACTTTTTAAAAATTTTCCTTTTTATAGAAAGATTTAAAAACTAGTTTCCTGGGTTTCATTGAGACAAACTCCTGAGTTTAACAAGAGATAGATTACCGAAATACAAGTTGATTGGGAGTTAGCTATCAAAACAAATAAGTAAATAGAGAAAAATAAAATTATTAGAAGTGTGATCAGTGTTTTAGAAATCCAAAAAATTAAATTTAACTCAAGCGAATATTTACATTTATTGTTGAATTTTCTATCAACACTTTTACCAACTTCTAGTAATTATGTAGGTACACAGATATAATTTTGACTTGAAGACAAACTTCTAAAAACTGTCAAAGAAATTTCCAAAGTATCCTAAAAAAATGAAACATGTCTTTTTTATTTTTAGTAATTACTAAAGATACAGGAGAGCCTTAAGACAAGCTGTCTTTAGAAAGAAAACTTTAATCATGACAACTATTATTTCATAATACATGAAGTGTTACAGTAAATTGACCCTTTGCCTTCTTAAATGTTATTAATTAACTAGCAGGAAATTCAGTGTTCCTTATTTCACATTTTAAAATGTTAAAACAATATTAAGGCAAAGCAGTCAAAGGAGAATTTTTTATTTTGAAGAGGGGAAACCTTTTCATATTTAATCTTGAGCCACTTAGTTAATTTTTTCCTATGCGAAGGGTCTCATCATTTGGATATTAAAATAGCAACTGACATCTGCAATTCTTAATATCAAGACTTCTTAATTTAACACCATATGATTTTTACTTTCTCTTAAATTTTAACAAACAACATCCTTTTCTCCACATCATGTTGAGTTAGTGCTTAGTCCAGTAATCCCTCTAGTACTGATAAGGCATTTTTGGAATATAAGCTGAATATCTTCTTCCTTATTACTTATCACATAAGTAATTTAAATTATTTTCTTCCAAAAGACATGGTAAATCTACATAATTAGTTTATAATTTGTATTGTTAAATGCAGTCAAGATGGTCTTATAAATTCCTTTCTGGCATTCTCATTATACAACCTAGAAATACAAATCAAAGATGTGTCATTACAGCTTAGACATTCAAAAATCAAAATTTTTAGGATGAAATTACTGCTAAATCATAGGACAGTAACATAAGACATGAGCAGGGTAATTCTAAATTGTGCATGGCTAACAATGTTCTCTTATATTTCCTCCAAAGAATCCTCTCAAAAATCTGGTCTAAAAACACTAGCCATAAGTTAAATGTGAAAAGTTCATTACCACTGAGAGAATTACAGACTTGATCTTAATAATTTTCCTCAATGAACAATGAATGAGAAAGAAGGAGGGATGAAGATAAGAGGAGGAAGAATTATTTCATTAAATGGCTGAAAGAATGTTAATGACAGGCATGACAGAGAGCCCTAAAATCTATAATCCAGTTTCTTAAAAAAGGACATAAATGCCTTACCCCAGCCTATTAAGATGAAGCCCCACAGGTATTTGGTGTCAGAAAAGAAAGCCACAAAGATTAGACTATGCAGGTAGAGACCTTCCACCAAGATCCAATAGTAGTTTGTAGCCAAGAAGTAAATAAACATCACAACAGCAATCTTGCACCCAATCTGTTACGAATAAACAGGAATTACATCATATTAGAACTCTTAATTGTACTGGATACCAACATTAGACCACAAAAAATCAATTCTTCAGTTTCTTTTTTATAATCTAATGTTTCCTGAACATGGGGAGTCCAAGACTGTTGAAAGAGACCAGAATAAAATTATTTTACCATAGCATTTTTAAGACTATGGGTTTAATTCTATTTTTTAAATAAGATTATTTTCCTTTAGATGTTACAAAAATCACTTTTCATTAATTTTTACTGTTTATAAAAATTACGCATGATCATTAGGGATAATTGGGAAAGTAAAGAAAAGCATAAAGAAGAAAATATTATTCATCATTTACCACAAATTTATTTTATTCTGGTCTTTTTCTTGCCCCAAAAGTAGCTTAAAACAACAAACTTTTAATACATCTTATGAATCCATGGATTGGCTAGATGATTCTACTGATCTGGGCCAGGCTACACTAATCTTGGCTAGGCCCACTCAAGAAGGCCTATCATCAACTCGTACACTATCATATCCGCTTCATCCTATTGTATAAAACAAGTCACGAAGTCCAGAATCAGAATCATCAGGGAACACAAAGTGACAAGGCAAAGGGCAAAGATACAGATAGGGCATTAATTTGCACCAATATGACAATTGATCTACTATACTGAACTTCCAGATGGATTGTTTCAATAATCTAATCAACCGAAGTATTAGGTCATCCTATTTACTAAATAACACCAGGACCTTTTGAGCAGAATCAGGTCCCATGGAATCTTATATTGGAACGAGTCTTGGAGTCTACAATAAAGGAACTAACTGTCATGGGCTTTTAAGTCCTAAGCTTCTGGTTCTGCAAGCGGGCTTTTTCATTTTTCAAGTGGTGACAGCTACAATGGGCAATAGGTCAAATGCCATTCCAATCATGTGCTTTTTGAAGTTCCCATTCCAGAAAATTCTTGAGGAAAAAGTCTAAGCGTTTTTAATAATTTAAGATGACAAGTGATTAGGCATGAGAGTTGAAGACAGAATTGAAATAGTAAACATCAGTATACAAATTGGTCATCTATTTCGGTTAGTTCAGAGATAAGATAAGCCAAAACAAGTTACATATTTAGTGAACCATGAAATTTTACTTATTTGCAATGTTACATGAATCAGTAATGAGAGAAAGTGGTGAAAACACTTACATATTGTGATTTGTCCATAGAAGGCGCTTCCATGAAATTTTGTAGGTCATCCTGCATCATCAGGGACTGCAGCTCCTTTACTCCTATATGAGCATGGACCACTCTGTCCTTGACAAAGATGCTTGCAGCTCTCAACATGAAAGATACAAATAAGTGCAGGTGGATATAGTTCCTAGTGCAATGCAATCGTCTATGGAGAGAAAATATTCAGTATATAGATTTGGATAAAATTAGAAATGAGGAAAAAAATACATAAATGAGCACAAAGTCCTCCCAAATAAAGAAGAAAAAATAGTAAACCTGAACAAAGACAGAACTCTATTATCAGAAATTTCCAATAAAAACAACTAGGATCAAAAACTAAAATATAACTTTATGGAAATTAATTTCAAAGTTATCTTATCTGCTAGCCTGTTCATCCATATTTTGCAGTGTTAAATATTATACTGCGTTATACTATAGCATTATATTAAACTGTATATTAAAGTTATAAATGGTTAATGTAGAACCACCTTGAACAGAGATAAACATTATTAAAACTAGAATTTTCACATTTTCAATACATTCTTTATAAGAAAGATATTTTGATAGCATTACATAATTTTATTTTCTTGGAGCGTTAAGAGTAAACAAGCTTACTTTAACATAAAAAGCTCTGGAATTATAAAAAAGATTGCAGATACAAGTTAAGTCAGTTACAGACTTAGTAGTAGATATAGTACCACTAACTTCCAGTACAGAAAACTAACTCCAAAAAAGAGGGTTTTTTTTTTTTTTTCCAAGTTTAATGAAAAAAAACACTAGGAAAAAGGCTATATAATCTGGTCAAAAGGCCCAGCTCTATCATTGCTTGACTATGAGAAAGTACAGCTTTCTATACAGTGAACATACTTAATATCACTTCTCTTCCAGAAAAGACAAAGCACCTAAGTGTAAGGGAGTAAGACTATGTTTAATTCAATAATGTATTTTTATATTTCATAATATAGGAGTGGAAGGTCAAAGGACAATGTGGATATAGGTTAGACATTTGGGAAGAAGTGTTACACTGTTAGTATGTTAGAGACATGTATTTATATTCATTGTGCCTAGATGGTCCTCTGGGATTGACTCTTTAGTGGGAATGTCTTCACAGGTGATCAGTATTTGGCCAGACAGGTTATCAAGTGTACATGGCAATTATTTATTGCAAATAGTGCCATCACAGTATATAAGTAGGTTTTGATTTTTAAAAGACTCAGCACTATTTACTATCCTAATAAAGGAGTATTTTGTTTTGAGAAATAGAAGTGTTTCTGAAATTTTCGAATAACGTTTTGCTGTATAGCATAGCAATTATATAGAAAGGAACTGTATAGAAAGAATCCACTGTTAAATACTGTGATGAACTATTATGTAAATTAAAGAATTATTACTTAATCATTTATATCCTAAAATTTTGTTTTTCATCAATATTTGTCTATTATTCTGGACAACCATAGCTAAGCTTGGTGTAATGGAATGAGCTCTGGTTAAGAGTCAGAAGATCAAGGTTCTGTTTCCAGCTGAACCACCTCTCTAACCTTGTGACCTTGGAGATCGAGCTTCAGTTTCTTGTTCTCTAAATGGAATAATACCTGCCACGCCAATTTCATAAGGCTATTTTTGTGATTGTGTTACCTTTCTACTTAAAAACTTCATTAGCTCCCCCATTACCTACTTTTATAAATCAAAATTCAAAGCCCTTGACAAGGAACTGCAAAACCTAGTGCTACAAAACCTAGCATCTTCCTGGTCATTTCGATATGGCCACTCCTCCCTATGCACCAAATGCTGCATTCCCCCCGGGACTCCTCCACGGTTCCTGAGTGTACTCTACTCCTTCGTGCCTCTGACCCTTGCACATTCTGTTCCCATCATTTGGAATGTGCTGAATTCCTTCTCATCATTCTATATCAGATAACATGTCAGTTGTTCTAGGAAGTCTCATCTTGTCAGTTTTGGACTGCCTTTTTGGTATTCCAAAAAGCCCTTTGTAGAAATCTATATTACAAATTTTATTTGTTAATCATTCAGTGGGTGGTCGGTTTCTCTCAATGATGTGTACACTACTTTTCTGGTCTGCAACATATCTTAAGTTGGCCTCCATCAATACCAAAAAGGGTCTATCACATGGTAGAGAAAAATGTTTCTTGAATAAATGAGCTAATGAATCGATAAAAAAATAAAAAAGCTTTGGAAATATAAACTATACCACTATAATATGGGTAATTGTATTAGAAGAAGTAGTTGGAATATTAGAACTAGTCATTATTTATTAATTCAACAAATATTTATTGAGTTCCAGGATATATCAAGTACATTGTAGCTACTGAGAATGCAGCAATGAACAAACAGAAAAAAAACCAAATGCCTACCCATGTTGCTTTACATTCTAGAGGAAGAGACAAAAAATAAAGATAAATAAGGAAATCAATTGGTATATTAGATAGTGATAAATCAAAGGAAAAAGCAAAGCAAAGAATAGGTAATATGAGAAGTTTCAGGAAAGAGATGATTATAAGATAATAGGAAACAAAATATAAAACTTTTTCAGTGGTAGCTTCTGTTAGCTTCTAAAGTCTCTCTTTTAGTGTTCTAAATTTGTCATCTACCCCTGCTCCTTCTTTTCCCACACATAATTTAGCACTAAATTCTTAAAACTGTTCTATCTTAATTAATATATCTCAAAACCTTCCATTTCTGTTCAATCTCCAGGCCACATCTTCTTGTCCTCGGTTACTCTAACAGCCTCTTCCAATGAGCTTCCTATCTTGTTTCCTAACAGCTCACACTACACCTTGCAAGGCAAGTGAACTTTCATGCCACTCCCCTGTTTAAAATCCTTCAGTGGAGGAATCACTTACCTATACCAAAATTCTGAATTCTCAAATAGTCCATGCTTTTTCTTGATCTAAACTTAGGTTTAGAACTCTCTCTCCCGGTCTCCTCTTTTGGTTAAATCCTATTTATACTCATGCATCATTTGAGATTTCACTTCATTTGAGAGGCCTTCCCTCACCTACTTCCTCTGCCATCCCAAATACACACCATCTAAATCACAGCACTTCTCAAACTGTGTACTAATTGTTTTCTCAGCTATTTATATGACAAACCAGCTGCAAGCATCATGAGTATATATATCATATATATATTAATTAATCGTATATCAATATGATTAACTCATTCACATATTGTATATATGTATGCATGTATATATATATGTATATATACACATATATATCTTATATATGTTTTTTACTGTTTTATCTCCATGTTGGTAATCAAAATTTTGTGTTAATTTAGATTAACTTGAATTAATTTAGAAAAATAAGTGGATAAAAAATAAACCACAATAAATGCAATAAGTACTATTTCTTTATATATGACATCAGATAATTTGGGAGATTATTTTAAATGAATTTCTGTCCTATGGCACCAAAATCATTTGGGAAAAGTGACATAAGTCTTTACATCATGAATGAAAATGTGTTTTGCACATTCAACTGTATTTTGCATCACTATGTAAACAAATACACTGTAATGAAGATCTATTGGCTTAACGGTTTCATACCGCTTTGATGCTTTAAGTTTTTAAATAAACGAACAAACAAACAAAACCCTGAATTCCTCATAAAAAATAAATGTCAAAGTCAAATAATATAACACTAGGCTGAATTCAAAAACTTACACTGGGAAAACTGTTTAGGGACACAATTGTGAGTCCTCTGTCTTTGATGGATAAAAATGTAAATGGAATCATTCACCTGAAGTAACCAATGATGAGAATAGCCACTGCCAGAGAACCAAAGGAGATGGAATATCCAATAGTGTACATGACGTAGAGGCGTTCAAAGAATTCTTGCTGCAGAGGAAAGGATTTAATTAGAAAAGCAGGTTTGAGGAAATTAGTTGATGTACATAAACTTAAAAACTATGCCTTTAACTGTTTAGAGATAGGCAACGTATTCCCACATTCATATAATACTATAGGTTATTCACCTGGTCTTCCTTTTATTTCCTAAATTCAAGTCGGAGTTAAAGATGTATTAACAAAATATTTGGCATTTCTTATTGCTTACGTGAGGTCGAATTAAATATTGCAATATTTACTTCATATATTTTTGTACTGTTCATTTTAACTAATTGGAATTGTATATCTAATGTGATATATAGGGTAAACTAAACACGTGTTATAGGACTATTTTAAGAGGAAACTGGTAAAAAGAATATGTCATTTTGGGAATATTATTTCAGTTTTCTTTAACTTTTTATTGAGCTATAATTTATATGAACTAAAATGTACAAATCTTAAATGAGTTTGATGGGTTTTGACAAAACAAGTTCATTGTGCTCCTTGGAAGTCAAAAAAAACCACCCACTATCCACCCCCAGCTAACTACTGTTCCAATTTCTGTCACCAAAAATTAGTTCTTTCTGTTCATGCACTTCTTGACTATTTTTGGAGTTCTTAGAATTATACAGTGTGTAACTTTTTGTCTACATACCATTTTTGATACTCAGTGATATTGCATGAATCAATGGTTCATTCCTTTTTAATTTTTTTTATTTTAAAATAATAATTGATTCACAAGAAGTAGAAAAAATAGTAAGAAAGGTCCCATGTATGCTTTACTTAGTATCTTCCAAAGGTTAAATCTAACATAATTATACTAAAATATCAAAACTAGATATTTGACACTGGTACAACTTATGTGTTTATAATTCTATGTCATTTAATCACATGTGCAAATTTTTGAAACCATCACTGCAATCATAGTTCTCCCTTATGCTGTCTCTTTACAGTCACACCTCCTCCTCTCCTCCCCACCATCCCTAACACCTGGCAACCATTAATCTGTTTTCTATTTCTATAATGTTGTCATTTCATAAATGTTACGTAAATGGAATCAAACAGTATGTGACCTTTCGAGATTGGCTTTTTTCACTCAGAGTAATGACCTCCAAATCCATTTAAGTCGTTGCATGTATCAACTTTATTCTTTTTTATTGGTAAGTAGTACTGAATGCTACGTATATAACCTACTTATATCATTATACTTGAAAAGAATTTCAAATTTTGTAGACAACACATTTCTGGATTATGTTTTTTAATAAAAACATAAGTCTCTGTTAATTAGTATATTTAAACCATTTGTTTTTAATACAACAGTGATATGTTAAGGCTAAGTCCATCCTTTTATTTATTATTTTCTGTTGTTCTAGTTTTCATTTCTTTTTTATTTTTCCTGCCATCCTGTGGGTTACTTGAACATTTTGTAGAACTTCATTTAGATATATCCTCTTGTATAGTGCTTTTGGTGGTCACTCTAGGTTCTAACATCATATGGCTTAATATGGAACCTTTGATCTTTGAATTTTCACCTTCCTTCTTTTCTAAACATTGAAGGCTATAAAGCTCCCTCTACGCTCTGCTTTAACTGTTTCCCTCAGTTTTTTGATATATCAAATTCCCATATTCATTCAGTTCGTACTTTTGACATGGGTCACCAATTTCCAACTATTGTGAACTGTCTACATATTTTATTTTAATTGATTTTCAATTAATACTTTGTGGTCAGAAAATATACTCGGTATGATTTTAATTTTGAGATTTATTGAGACTTGGTTTACAGCCCCATATATGTTCTACCTTGATGAACCTTCGGTGTGTGCTTTAAAAGAATGTGAATTTTGTAGTTTGGAGGTATAGTATTCTATAAATGTCATTTTAATCAAATTGAAAGATACAGTTACAGATGATTTTGTCAAATTGTCCTATCGATTACTAGGAAAACCATATTTTTAAAAATTCCAACATCATGGGATTTAGCTGTATCTCCCTTCGGCTCTGACAATTTTTGCTTCATGTAACTTAAAGCTCCTAAATGCATGCATATTTCTGTCCTGAAGTCTACTTAGTCACATCTACTTTCTTATCCTTAGAGTATGAATAGCATATACCTTTTTCCACCTTTTTAATTTCAACATATCTTTTATCTTTATATTTTTAAATATAATTCTTAATTTTTATTTAATATTTTCATAATAGCTACAACCCCAATTCTTTTCAAACATCAGCAACTTGTCTATAGTTCAATAAGAAATATAAAATACATGTAAAATATAACTCATTTTCTGTGTCATTTAGGGAAAATTTATGACTGGGCATATAAAAGAAAGCTTTCAAGATGGGGTTGAGCTTTTGGTAGTGGTATAAAGTATTTGAGTGGTCAAGGCAACAGTTATATCTTCCAGGTATTCTATTCAAATCTGTGAAATCTCAACCTCAGTGCCGAATTCTTCATAATTTAGAATGTGAATACAAACTCTGCGCGATTTTTAACCACATTTCTACTTGACAGATATGATATCCTGACTGAGAATCCAATCTTTCTTTTCCTCTCTCCTCTTTCATTTCTTCCCTCCCCCCCTTTCTTTTTGTTTAACTGACATTGGCAGTTTTATCTTTACATTTATCTGTATCTTTATATTTAGAATACATTAGTTGAAGATAGCATATAAGTGAGTTGTACTTTTATTATCTGTTCTAACAACTTAAGTGAACTGTTTAGTCTGTTTACATTTAATACAATCATTGCTATGTTTGGGTTCAAATCTACCCTATTGGTATTTGCATCCTATATGTCCTATCTTTTCTTTGTTCCCCTGTATCTATTTCTTTTCCTTTTATTGGTGGGGGGAGGATGTCAATCAATTAATTTTTAGTATTTCACTTGTATTATTATTTAGCAGTTACTTTAGAGACTTGATTATGCATCCGAACTTATCAGAGCCTACATTTAAATAATATTGAACTATTTCACAAACTATATAAGAAGTTTACAATCATATACTCAATTTCGCTCCCCTACCCTTTGTCCTTTTTAGATTTTCTTCTACGTAATTTATAAATCCTAATATAAGGCTATTATGTTTGCTTTAAGCAGTCAATAAACTTAAATGAATCATATTTTAGACATAGTTTAAAAGATAGGTATAAATATAGCAATGAATAAGAATAGGTATATAGTTTTTTTAGTCTATCATATTTATCCACATATATACCTATTCTGGTATTACTCATTTCTTCCTGCCAATCTATGTTTCCATCTGATATATTTCTCTTCTGCCTAGAAAACTTTTTTGAGTATTTCTTACACTGAAGGTCTAATGAAGATGAATTCTCTCAGATTTTTTTCTGTCTGAAAAATATTGTTTTACCTTTATCTTAATGCATATTAATTACTTTAAATACATCATTCCATTGTATTCTGGCTTCATTGTTTCTGAATAAAAGGTATGTTTTTATTGTTTCCCTGAATATAATGTGCCTTTTTTCTCTCATTACTTTTAAGATTTTCTTTTTACTTTGATTTACATCAGTTTAAATATGATGTGTCTAAGTATGGTTTTCTTTTATCCTGCCCAGAGTTTGCTTAATTTCTAGGACCTGTGCATTGATTTATTTCATCCATTTAAAAAAATTCTTGGCCATTGTCTCCTCAAATATTTATTTTGTCTCATTCTCTCTCTCTTTCTCTCATCTCTTTACCTCTAATTTCACGTTAGACAATTATATATTGTCTCACAAGTCTCAGCTGGTTCAGCTTTTTTAAATTTTTTTCTCCTAAAGCTTAGTTGGATAATTTCTATTGGCCTCTCTGCAAGTTCACTGATCCTTTATCATGCTGTGTTCAGTATGCTCTTGAACATATCAACTGAATTCTTCTTTTTGGAATTATTTCAATTCTAGAATCTCCACTGGGTTATTTTAAGTTTTCATTTCTCTACTGATTTTTCAATCTGGTTTTTTTGGGGGGTTTTTTTTGGGGTTTTTTTTTTTTTTGGACCTTTTTCACTAAATCATCTAACATATTTATAATAGTTATTATTAAGTACTCATCTGCGAATTCCAACCTCTGGATCATCTGTTTCCTTCTGCTCTTATTTTTACTTTAGATTTTGGGTACCTGCCTTATAGTTTTTTTAGTACATTCCAGGCATTGTAGATAAAAGAATAGTTGAGACTGAGTATGTAATATTAGTGGCCTGAAAGGGGCAGACCTCTTTCTCTACCAGGCTTCTTGGGTGGGGTGGCTGGATTTCTCTGATGTTAAACTGGAGTTTTTGTTTTTGTTTTTCATAATTCTTTTATCCAGGTTTTGAGATTCTTTTATCCTGGTCTTTTAGGTTTTGAGAGCAAAATCAAGACTTTTCTTTGAGCAAACCAGGATCTGAACATCACGACCTCTGATGGCCATTATATGAGTTTTAGTCCATCTGACACTTTTCTAAGCCACAGAAGAACTCTTTCTGCTTTTTGAACCATCCATCAGCTTTTCAAGTTGCTGGTGTTTCACTTTGCCCTCCAGCTCTGCCCTGGGCTTTCTGAATCTCAGGAGATTTCACTCCACCTTGATGCTCTGCCCCAGTCCTTAGCTTTAAATGAAGGAACGACCTTTCTCGGTTCCATTTTGTCAGGCTGCTGCCTTTCACACAATGAAATCTGTACATTGTAGGGGTTTTCTGCCCTTGCCTGGCCTGTAGGCTGCAGCGCTCATGCACTTAGTGAGGCTCTGTCTCTCAGCTCCTCTGTTCTGTCCATGCCCTCAGCTAACTGCTGCCTTTCACTCTGTAAGGGCCCTCTGCACATCTTGGAGAATTTTCCTTAGCCCACCTGTACTGCCTCCAGTCTTTGGCATACTGCCTCCAGGCACTCAGTGAAAGCCCTATCGGAAACCATTGGTTGGTGAGTAATAATAGCTCACTGGGACTGGGACTCACTCCTTGGAATTCTAAGCCCTCAGGCCCACCCTCGTCTGTTAAAAATTGGTTTAAAAGTCAGGCTCTTTTCTTTTATCCCTTTCTGTGGTCTGGTTGCACCTCACATGCTGGAGATCCAGGGATAAATGCACCCATGGGTCTCTTCTGTCATAGAAAGGGCTTGCCCACCTCTGAAATTTGGTTCATTTTAATTTCTTGGCAGCAGACTTTTGGAAGACTTTCTGGAAGCAGAAGACTTTTGTTCCTTTTTATTTTAAACATTTACTACATACTATTTTCTGTTAATAAAATGTTAAAATTTTTCATAGAAAATATCTAGATAATGTGTAAAACACAAAATAGAAGAGAAAAAACTCCTGAATTCTCACAACCAAAAAGAAACAGTTAGTATCTCATGTATTTCTCTTCATTCTATTTTATTGCATAATTCCCCATTGTTTTGAGCATCTTCATCTCCAATTTATACCCATTTATTATCTGACTTTTTTTTCAGTTAGCCGTATAAAAAAAGAATTTCCCAAGGCCACATCTCATTACAAAAAATATGTATTTAAGCTTACTTAACTAGTTCATCTTTGGAAATTTTAATTCTTCAGAATATTCAGAATAATTATTGATGGTTCAATGAATATTTTTTCCATTCAGTTCCCCCCACTCCAAATCCTTATGCATGAATTTTACAAGATTATAAAATCGAAAGATATGACTCTTTGAAATTCCTTAATATATATTGTTAAATTGCTTCCCAGAAATGCATATAACCTTTAGACATGAGGTATATTATATGGTAATTTATATAATATACTACTGTTTTAAATGTCTCTAAAGAATTTAATAATATTGTGATCTATCATAAGAGTTCTTTTCCTTCTTTTTATTATAAATAATTATCTCATTTTGTCAAGGCAATGATACGGAAATTACTTAAAGAACAGAACAATAATTATTTAAAAAGTCTTATTTTCCCTCCAAAGATGTCCTATTTATTCTAAATGTATACTGTTTTTAAAATTTTTGTTTCTTATACAAAAGCTCTCTTTATGCCATTAATAATTAATATCTCATAAATAAGTAATA